ATATAGTCATGTGTGCCCGTGTAATAGCCAAATATTCTGAGGAGTGTGGGCAGGTGAGATGGGGGCGATGGGCTTATTTCGAACCTCATGGCACTGGTTTACCAGTTGCAGAAAGGTGGATTTCCTAGCACCCGACAAGACTACGACGTGATTCAGTAGTACGGTAGTAATAAGAACAGAACCGTTGTGGCGCTGGCGACACTGATGGCAGTAGGGGAGGTTTCGGTTGCAAGATGTTGTCTGGTTGTGCAGATACCACAGTGAACTCCACCGTCATACATGCATACATGGCCGAACGGACTATACAGTGTCTGAATATCCAGGGGGGTGTATAATAGGTACATATTTGAGCCCAGACTCTGTATCGCAGTTCTTCATACGATGGAATATCAGAGGGAGATAAATTAGAACACCAGTATCACAGTGGGGCCGACAGCACAGAATCCGCAAACTCTAACGTCGTTAACTGACTACCAAAGTTTGATTTCCGAAACAATCAACCGGAAACCCACCAAATGACTGCCAGCTTCACTTAATGTGACTGAAATCAAGGCACCTGGCAAGGTCTCGTAATTGGGATGGGTGACGCGTGGACAGTACTCTATCCTAGCCCTTGCCATCTTGGTTTCGAATGACACTGACGTCGCCGGCCTTAGTTACATTTGGGTGAAATAAATAATCTGCATCTGTTAAACCACTTATTTATTCTAGTCATCTTAACAAATGGCCCTTGGCAAACAACAACTACTCTTGCAAAGAAACAATTATTTAATCGAAATAAACCTTACTTGTTTAGCCACTACTGTACTGCTAAAATGAATGAAATGAAACAATGTTAGGAAATTAGAATGATAAAAAATAGTCCTCTGAGATATTAGTGAGCTGGAGAACTAAAAATAATTTAAAAATGTGGATGCTAATTATAACTAGACTGGATTGCTTGATGTAGAATTTGTACGCTTGATGTTTCAGATCAACTTTGCGATCATGAAGCAAAACCGCAGGGTGTTACGTCAACGGGCAGGTAAGGGGTCTGAAAGTTATGAATATGATGTTATTCAAAGTCCAGAACGTTGGTACACTTCACAGTCGTCACAGGAGTCTTAATCAATAAGATTGTATGATTGTCGCTACCGAGACATTTAACAGTGATTTAATCATGGGAGCCGGAATTCGCCTTGACATAGGCAACGTTCAAACAGACGGACAGTCCCTTATTAAATCCTCTGTCCGAGCGAAGTCAGAGTGCTGAATTTGAGGGTGACTGACTTTCGTGAGATTTGTTTATAGATTCTGAGCTTAAGGACCGCAGCTTATTCGGATCCTTATTTGATCCAAGGGTTTTGTTTTCGTCGAAGTTCAGCTGATGTCAACGTTCACATGAAGGTTTCGTGACTTGGCACTTGATGTCTTTCCCTCCTACCAGGTATGCGCTCTCTGCCACCTCGCAGGTTATTCGCTACGCTTAAAACTGCACTGGATCCGGTGCAACTCTCGATTTTCTCTACATCGGGAGCGTGTCTTTTGACTGCGGCACTAGTGGTCAGATTGTCCTATCAATCCGTGTGCAATCCTAACTTCGAATAACGCGAGAATGAGACGAATTGCTTTCGGCACGTTCTGGATATGCGGAGGCGTTTGGCAAAGTGTGCGTCAAATGTGTGCTGACTTTTGGCCTTTGCATGTCAGCAGTGACGTTATTATGCCTGCGGCTTTTGTCATAACTGCATGTGATTGCGCGCGCGCCATATTGCTTCACAGTTTTGGCCTTTGCGCAGTAAACCATGAGCCTTTCCTGTCTTTTTTGGGCAACGTAGTGGTAAAGTATTAAATAACGATAAATTGGAACGCCCTAACCCGTTTACCTAATGCTGTGGCCACAAAGAGCGGTCTGACCAAATACTCACGCACGAAGCTGCATCTGATTAGCCAGCGGCATTGGTGTTTCTTTTAATGACTCGATCACATGTAGAGCATATGTGTTATCTCATAACCAAAATTATAAAACGCGTTTTCGATTCAAAGATTGCTCAAGTGGAGATGTAATATTAATTATCAAAATATTAAAGTTACTCCAGGATGCCAGCCATTGAACGAGCTTCTCTTCGGCCATCTGCAAAAACTACACTTCTTAAAAATGAACCACTTTAGTGACATGAATTTTTCCCATTGATGCTTGATGCCTTTGTAAATTCAAAGGTGTTTTGTAGAAAACATACACCAAACTATTCGCTGGTTTGCTCATTTCATAATTATTTACGCTCCCTTTAAATCATATAAGGCAAAAGCAATATTTTTCGGTTTTAGAAAAATTTTCAATTTCCGAATAATTTTTGAACCAACCCGTCTGAGTCCCTGGTTGACCTCTTTCTGCATTCTGCAGGACTTGTCTGCATGCTAAATGTATCCGGTTAAGGATGATACTGACATATTTGTTAGATTCACGACGTTAAAGTCTGGTTTTTCTGTAAGAATACGGCTGCCTTATTTACGGCAGTGCAGTGAGTGACCGATCTCATGAAATGTTGGCCGAAATACTGAAATGTGTATTCGATTTTGAAGGATTACTTAGGCGCGGTTGTGATATTGATTAGCATGCGGCATAATCAACTAATGTTTCGGACTCGCCAGGATGTTGACTTTTGAATGCACATTTTTTGATCTCATACTCAAACCACAATCGGCAAAAAATGACTTCTTGATTGGCAGGGATTTTTAGCATTGATTTTCGATGGTGTTATAAGTTCAAATATATTTTATAGAAAAAATGCACAAAAATATGCTTTCTTCTACTGAATTGGTGGTAAGTCACGTTGACTTTACATTTTATGCTTGAAGACAGAACACACTTAGGTTTTAGTAAAGTTTTCCAATTCCCGAATAATTTTAAGCCAGATCAGCCTTTGCATTTGCGTATAGCGATTTAATTCTACAAGGCGCATGCTTTCCGTGTAAGGAAAATAATTTGTTCCTCTATGCCTTTAAAGAGATACCATTCAGAGTTCATGAAATTTTACAGTGAGTGCTGACTAGGTTATACATTTCATGAGGAGCAATGGTAAACAGACAGGTACGATGCCGTATGAATGTTCACTGCACCGTCTTAACGAACGCATAATTAAAAACTTCCTTAAAACCTAAATATACCCTATCTTACTTGATTTAATTGACAAGATCTCAGTCCCGATCCCCTAAAGAAAATACAGAGAGCTCAAACACAAGCAGTTTGTTGTAGGTATGATTAAGCTAAGAGAGGATAAGCATTGTGGTCTTAAATTGCCAGTCTTGTGGTCATTTATTTGTCAAACATCGGCGGCGTTGGTGTGGGGCCAACTCATCGCAGCAAAGGCAAGGCTTGATTCAGACCCCATCTTATTCCGGAGGTTTCAGTTTCGTTGAACTTGAGCATGCGTTGACGTCCCCATGAGGGCGTTGCGATTTGACATTTGACATCATTCTTCCATACCAGGTAGTCGCGTTCTGCCTTTTTGCGATATTGTCCTTGCTCAACACTACATCCGACTCGGTAAAACTACCGATTTCCTCTAACGGACCGAAGGGAATATAGTAGAAATTTTCATATATCCGTCAAGCGTCTTGGTTTTTTCAATAATTTAACACAAAACAGCAGGTAGGCTAACTCATGAAATGTCAACCAAAATTCCGAAATACCTTTTGGTTTCGAAAAGATTAATTAAGTAGGGTTGTAAAAATAATCATCGTCCATCATTATTCTGTAATGATCCAGTTACATCAGGGTGCCCTCTGTCGAATTAACTTCCTTTCGACTGCATTCAAAAACTACTCTGCAAAAATGACACTTATGGAGCATGCATTTTTCTCTTTGATTTTCGATGCCCCTAAAAGCCCGATTATGGTTCATGGAAAAATACCTAAAATATTCATTCTTCTGCTCATTCGGTAGATAATTACGTCTTCTTGTAATTTTATACTTGAAAAAGGGAAATAAATCGGTTTTAAAGAAGTTTCTAATTGTGGGACTTTTAAATACCGTGAAATGACCGTTCATAAATCGTAATGTCTCTGCATTTACCAATGTGGCTTGCGTATTTAACAATATTGATCAAATCCACTGATTAATTTATGAAGTCCATATGGTCTCGTCTTAATACCGTAGAGAAATTTGAGGTTTTTCGTACGTGAAAAATATACGGCTTGTAGTTTGGAGACCATGAATCCAAGTGTAACGGTAGAGTGGGTTCAAAGTTATTCGGGAATTGGAAAATATTTTAATACCGAATTATGTCCCTTCTTTTGAGTATGAGGGAGGAGAGCACAAAATTGGAAGTAGACATAACTGTCTACCGAATGAGCAAAAGATTGAATATTTTTAAGCATGTTTTCCATGAAATATAACAGGACTATTATGGGCATCGAAAATCAGTGAGAAAAATTGATGCTACATAAGTAGTCGTATTTTACAGAGCGTAGTTTTTGCATGCAACCGGTAGGAAGTTCATGACCTTCATGAACGTTTATGATGTTAAAGTCTGGTTTTTTGTAAGGATACAGCTGCCTTATTTACAGCAGTACAGTGAGTTACCGATATCATGAAATGTTGGCCAACATTCCGAAATGGGCTTTCGATTTGGAAGGATTACTTAAGTGTGGTTGTAGTGCTTATAATCTTGCAGCATAATCCACTGTTTCGGACTTGGCAGGATGCCGGCTTTTGAATACACTTCTTTTGGTTCTTCTGCAGTAACCACAGTCGCCAAAAAGGACTACCTAATTAGCAGGGATTTTTCGCATTGATTTTCGATGGTCTTATAAATTAAAATACATTTTACAGAAAACATGCATAAAGGGGATGTCCCTCACCAGCCCATGGCCTCACTCAATGGTATTCTAAATTACGGACTGGCAAAATGGCTGTTTCGGCGCCAAAATGTCCGACCGCAAATTCAAATACTACAATCGGTTCGTCAACACAATTCTTGGAGAAATTTAAAGTGGTAAACCTCCTGCAAAGCAAGGTCATGGTATCCTCTGATATCCCGTTCATTTTTGCTTCTATTTCGCAGTACGCGACAGTCGAGACCATCGAAGCACTTATACGAGACAAATACGATGAGACGCAGAATCACCTTAGGTATGCCCAAATATAAAAAGTTCTGAAGTTCTGTCTCAAGACGTATTTTACGTTTGACCAAACAATCTACGGACAGGCGAATGGCACGCCAATGGGTTCGCCGATTTCGGGATTCACAGTCAAGGCGGTCCTACAACGGTTGGAGTCGCTGGTTTTCCAACATCACAAACTGAAATTCTGGGCTCGGCATGCAGATGATACCTTCGTCGTCATCGAACGGGATCAGGTGCTGGAATTCAAAGAACGCCTCAACGCCGTCTTCCCGAACATTCAATTTAGGATGGAGGAAAAGGCAAACAACCAGCAAGACTTTCTTGATGTCTTCGTCTGCCACAAAGATTGCAGTGGCTTAAAAACCGAAATATTCAGGAATGCAACAAAGGCGGCGCAAGTACTGGGCTACAACAGCAAACACCCAATCATTCACAAACGCAGTTTCATAAGGGCGCTATGCCAGCGACAATTACTGACAAGGCATTATAAAATATTAAGATGTCGGCGACCGTTTGCGGTGAAATAAAAAACATGTAACTACTTGGATGGAGTCATTGGCGAATAGATGATATCGTTGAACTAACACATGCATTGCTTTATCGTAGTAGATAGTGGTCATTTAGAATTTCAATTTATTGTTACTCTGCGTGCAACCGTTTGTGAATATCCTTCTCCATGTTTTCTTTACCACGTTGAGCCACATCCGTTTTGTCAGATTTCGCAATGGATTCCGCTGCCATACATTTCTTTTAGCACCAATTGGACCGTCCTCATTGTTGAATTTCTTGGAAAAGGCCGATACCGTCTTTCCTTGCCCTCGAGATATTTATTTATGGCAGGCATAATCAATGGGGGCATCAGGTTTGAAATTCCTGCGATATTTGGACCTCGCTCTCTTGTATTCCAATTAGAAATTTTGATCGTTGCCAGTAGCGGGAATCTCTTTACTGGCATCTCATTCAAATCTATCTAAATTAGGAAAAAAACATTAATAAACAGTAACTTTACATATTATGCAAACACGGGGCAAACAGAGATGGTTATTTGCATTTTATGAACCATCTTCAGTAGATCAAAATCTAAACAAGTTTTGTACAAGAAAAAACAACCACCTGCTTAAATTTGATCAAAACGTTATGCAAGACAATTGTGCAGTTGTATTTTTCTCGGTGGAAACTCGTCCCCTCGTGTTGGAACTGACAGTCATGTATTTTCTGTTTGTCCGGAAAATTGATGCCGTAGGAAAGAATTTCTGACTGAAAGGTCTCTTCTTGAACATCTATACGTTTAACCCGGCTGACAAGGTGTTCAGCAATCTTCAGGTTTCTACTTAGGCCGTTGTCGCGAGGACACATGTTATTTCCTTAAAATAAATGCAGATAATTCAGTGCTGATACACGTTTTGAACTACCTTTTTAAAAATAAGTAAACTAAGGTGTTAGTAAAGTACCAATAAATGTATCGAGAAACAAGAACAGATAAAGTTTCTTAAGATCTTTCCAGAAATCTTCTGTCAAATGATTTGCCCTCTGGTTGGTTGGAATTATACAAGCTCACATTATCTTTTATTCCGTAACCTAACGAGATAGAGTGCTCGTTCTTCGTCAATGGAATTTCTTCAAAGTGCATCTCCACAGTCATCATTTTTTTAAACGAAGTGCCGTGAGTTGCCTCCTTAATCGAGCAGAAACTCACTGCTCTGGCAACGAAACTTACCAAACAGAATTGAATTATTTGTTCAATTTGTTTTCAGTGAATGAGTATCCTGGAGCCTTTGTACATCAGTGCACAAGGCAACAGAAGTTGAAAAAAGGGAGAAAAATGCGGATTTTTACGATTAGGCGTTAAAACCATGAAACTGGCAAACACCTTTGTCCATTAGAAATGTGTCTGAACTCGTTAAAAGAGACCTGAGGAAGCACCAAATACACGTGGCGCACAAAGTGACGACTACACCTAGCAACCAACTTGTGCACCTTGAGGATAGAAAGGGCTATTTAGATAAGAAAGAAGTCGTCTTTAGGATACCATGCGACAGTTGAAATGCAATTTACAATGGTCAGACTGGAAAGTCCGCCGCCATAGGCATACAAGAACACCAGTTGGCAGTTAAAAGACTGGACCATTCGTTTCAAATTGCTATGCATACGCAGGAAACTGGACATAAATTTGGCCGATGAAGACTCACATTAAAGGTGTTTGTTCATCTAAGAAAGATGGATAATTTTTGAGACCATGCATTCTGGCAGCTCGAGCATCAATTAGCATATCGAATTAGATACTGTGTATAACAATCTCAGAGAAAAATGTAGAGTCGATAGCTTATCATAACGTGATGCCAGCCTATAGTAAAAGTTGACTGAGAAGAGCGACTGTAAAAAACCGATTATATCTGAACTGTTGTGCACACTTTCTTCGCGTTTAAGGACGAAATAAGAAGCCAAAATCGAAAATTTATAAAATAAACGTTTATGATTTATCCGGAAGGACCTGTTTCCTTCGAAGTGCCCATACATGGTTTTAAAAATTCAAGATCAAGATATCTTACAACGTTCATGATCTCTCGAAGAAGACACAGCTAGAGGGAAAGGGAATAAATGTACCAAGTTGTATTTGCGCTGAAGTTTCGGAAAATTAAGTACGAAGCAACCTACACAAAGAGCAACGACTGATCATTCCGTCGACTGACGTGCGGGGGGTCGACAGACACGGCGAATTGGCTACAACTACGTCTATTAACAAGGGGAAAATGCCACGCATGTCCTCAGAGGGGTCAATCGTTCGTGGGTCAAGCATGGCTATAATTCGAGTCCGGCGACAAGACTGAATATCTCAAGACCAACAGGAGCGGCGACCACATATCTTTGACGACAGAAGCGAGAAAATTTCCAAGAGGTCAGTATATGTACTTTTCGGTTCACCATCTCACTCTCTCTTCTTCGGGAGATGGTTAACGCGATATACACAATGAGTGACCGATCTCACGAAATGTTAACCGAAATTCTGAAATGCGGTTTCTATCAGGAAGGACTACTTAGTTGCGGTTGTAAATTGATTATCTTGCGGCATAATCCTACAATATTTCGGACTCGGCAGGATGTCAGCCTTTGAATGCACTGCTTTTTTATCTACTGCAGAAATGAAACTCGGTAAAAAATGACTATTTAGGTATCATGAATGACTTACATTGATTTTCGGTGGTACTGCAAATTCAAATATATTTTATAGAAACCACGAACAAAAATATGCTTTCTCCCAGACGTTTGATATTGCATCATGCTATCCTTATAATTTATGCTTAAATAAGGTATATAACTAAGTTTTAAAAAGTGTTTTATTATGAGAGACAGTATCGCACCCGTCCGTTTACCACTGCTTCTCATGAAATGTACAACATGATCCGCATCCATGGTAAAATTATGTGGAATCTATATGATATCTTCCTAAAGGCATAGAGGAATATGTGAGTTTCTTTACGCGGACCGCATGCACTTTGTAGACTGTGATCACTAAGCGCTAATGCAACGACTGAATGGGCTCCAAATTATTCGGGAATTAGAAAACTTGTTTAAAACCTAATTATACTTCTTGGAGCACAAAATGTAAAGATGACGTGACTCTCTATCAAACGACTGAAGGAAAGCTTATGTTTCTTCGTGGTTGCTATGAAATATACTTGAATTTACTAGACCAGCGAAAATCAGTGTGAAAATGCAGGCTACCTAAGTAGTCATTTTTCACCGGATTCGGTTTCCATAGGAGATTGAAAAGAAGTGCATTCGAAAGCTGGCATTCTGCCAAGTCCGAAATATTATAGCATTATGTCACAAGGTAATCAATATTACACTGGCGCCTAAGTTATCCTTCCTAATCGAAAATGCGTTTGAGAATTTCCGCCAACGTTTCGTGAGATCGGTCACTCACTGTATACTCCTATAGTAATACTGGTCTACGGACGTAGGAGAACCTTCGTTTAACGTGTCCCTTACAAAGAGCAATTGAATGCGTCACAACACTTACATGTAGTCATTCAGGCTTCTAATAAAAATATGGCGAAAATCACATTGCATAGCTACTTTATACTATCTGAACCCTTCTAAATCTAAAGTTTACAGTCAACATCGAAACATATATTTCTTGTTATTTAAGTTTTTAAGGTTTAACATATACAGCAGCCTGCCTACTTTGTAAGATTTGAATCAAAATCCTGAAGTATGCTTGCTATAAGTGAAGAAGAAGATTTGAGCACCGGAACACTTTGTTTATTGTCCTGAGCGTTCAGACTCGTACAGGAGTCCGTCGTCAGAGGTAGTGGCAGAAAGAGAACAAGCGGCAGTTATAAGGCATGTAGGCCCAATCATCGACCAACGGCGCAAGACTGGAGGTGACTACACAGGGCTCTGTGCGCCGGCGCCAAATCGATAAATCGATTGACCGAGTTCTCACCCGAGGCCCAGGCTTCAATCAATTCTCGGCCTGCTTTGTTTCCCGCGTGGGCGACTATTTCGCTGGTTGCGAAGTTAAACTCGTGACCCACTTAGTAGGTGTGGGCGACCACTTGTGATAGTGCGTCGCCTCGTCGCACAACCAGCCTAAGTTCGTGTATGCGCGATCCGCGCATGCGTCTAGTCTGTCCTGTGTAGTTACAAGGACACTTTTGACACGGGATGCAATACACTACTCCAGATTGCTCTTCAGGCTTTAGTCGGTCTTTGATTTTCATGACCCTATTGCGCATGGTGGCTTTGGGACGGTGTGCAATCCCAACACTTAGCTCCGCAGCAATGCGCTAGGTCGCTTCTGAAACACCCCTGATGCATGGCAGAGAACGCCATTTCGTCGGTGGCGTTGATGTTTGAGTTCTCTGGTGGCGACCGCGTAGTCAGCGACTTATGGATGCACTCAGATAGCCATTTTGTACAAACAAAATAATAAACAAACAAATAACAAACAAATAATAAACAAAGTATTCCGATGCTCGAATCTTCTTCTTCACTTATGCACACACCTGGAACTCTAAATTTTGCCTTTGTATGCTTTCTATTGTGGAGGACTTTTTTGTCCTCTAACCTCATTACGGCGGTCCGCAAATACAACAGTCGTTAAAGACGGCTGCTTAAACAATCTACCATTTTCTATTTATCTTAAATACCTTCATAAATTAAAATATATTCTACAACACCCATGTCCAAAATGTACGTTTGCATTCACTTGACATCACGTTACGTTTTTTTAAATATTTTAACCGAGGAAATGTTAGTTTGCGGTCCTGAAAAAGCATATTATAACTTAATTTTTATGACCGAAAAATATCCCTTTTTAAAACATTGAAACTGTGTGTTTATAAATTTTGCTTATGGAGTATACAACACGGACCGCATTCACCGAAAATTTTCATGAAGTCCCCTGAATAACATAAAGAAATCTATGATTTTCCTCACCCGGAAAGTATACAGCGCGCGGTTTTGAGATCGTAAACGCAAGTGCGACTGCATGTTAGGTAACGCATATTTCGAGAATCGAAAAAGGCGGTTAGAACCAGAAATACTCCTCAATCATGTCTAAAAGACGAAAAATATTTGATTTGTTGACAAATACGAGCAAAAGTGCTTTGATGAAGGCTTTGCATAAGGTGTGCTTGAGTCGACAAGAACATCGAAAGTCAACTGGATCGTTTCGGGTTATTAAATAATCACTCATTTTGGAGTGTGTTTTCTGCAGACGGTCGGAAAGGAGCTCACTTAAAAGCCGTTATCCTTTGGTAATTAAAATATCTTGGCATTATTCCGTGCAATAATAATAATAATAATTGCGACCTTAACTAACTAATCGTTTCCAATCGGACTCATATTCCTGAACTATGATTAGCTTGTCGTTATACATACATATATATGACGTTTGGAAGAGATGCAGTAATCTGCAGAACTTGAGAATACTTACTGCGAGCGGACAGACAAGCACTGCACCGCGTGGTGCAAAGCAATAAGAGAGAAGCATAACCGACGATCATTTTCAAGGAAATGAAAATATACTTTGCCTGTCTAGACTACCAGACATTCCAAACGAACAGCTTTTTTCAAATCAGACACAGGCGCCGTATACAGTCCTTGCCTGTTTGTCAGCAAGGTCACTCTTTGAAGGCGGATCAACGAACTATTTTGTTGCGGCTGCTGTAGAGAGCAGCCGTGGAAAGTCTTTAATTAATGACAGAGCTCATTGTTTCACACAGATATATGCACTCATGTGTACTATGCCGCTTTAGTCATAAAACGTACTACCGCAAATTTGAAAACATCATCCATGGAAAAAAAATCACACTGCACACCTTTTACCCGTTCAGCTCGTTTCGGCATAACTTAATCTCTCCTAGGGTAGTTTATCCTAAATGAAGTATATCAGACATACTTCGGAAAATGGTAACGCACAGGAACAGTAATTTATAAAAATTTTTTTGGGGGAAACATTTCAGGGCAGACTTGTTTATTAAGCAAGAGAGCATTAATATGAGATCTTCGTTAAGACTGTTCGTTTTATGTAGGCGATGAGGTTTTGTGCTTTGGGAGTTCGTGTGTATTGCGCACACGGCTCTCTAAATGCATCATAACGACCCAGAACTCAACATTTTGATACATACATTTGAAACATGCGATTTTGATAGCGGAAATAGACGCTAATTATTGCCAATAGATGCGAAGAAACGAGTCCCAAGAAGTAGTCTTAAAGAAGGAGACACGATCGTTGGGACAAGAGCTTTATTAACCTGACATTTTGGATTACTGTTCGAGCCCATCCTCAGAGACAAAAGCAGATAAGGGTGATTCATGCACAAGGGGCTGCAGTATTTGTAGGATGCAGTCACCATGCTACCGCATCCCCATGAACATTCACGGCTCCCCACTTCATCCGGGATCGTTGCACTTGTCGTACCAATTGTTTGATGACCATCCTATAAATACTGCTGACCTTTGTGAATGAACCACCCGTATCTGCTGTTGTCTTTGATGATTGGTTCCAGAAGTAATCCGAAACGTGTCTCCTTCTTAAAGTCTACTTCCTTGGACTCGTCTCTTCGCTTCTATTGGCAGTACATTTCGACGCGATGCTCTCCGATCGGCCCGGCGATGGGAAACCTTCGCCCTTCAGGAGGCCTCCACGTATTCGCAGATCCGGTTTCTGCACAAGTGTCGCGACAATAATGTGTTACCGAAATGTTTTTTATACAGGCTACCGATTAACACCGATTTAGCGAGACGGACAGTATTTCAACACGGCAGAAGGATGATTCGAGTGCTCCTCCAAGATTGTCACGCGAGACTTCGCAAGTAGCGTCAAAGATTGACCGAGAAAAGACCAGATGCTGTGAGTTGATGGGCAAAATCGGTACAAATATGGTCCAGCAGAAGGTAACTGAACAAACCCGCGAACAGAGAACGATACGCGATGCAGCACTGGAGAACAAATTCCGAAAGCCGCCCAATCCAACATCGCCCAGAAACGACAAACTCGTGCACAACCTGTCATCAAAGGAGCTGACGAAGGATCAGATGCAGGTTTAACGGTATGAAGTTTCATTTAACACGGTTGACGCCAAACCTGCTAACATGATTGCAGCAGTAGAATCAACCTTTACTCGGACGAAGACAACAGAGGAGACTAAGAGCCTCGTCCGACACCAAGCGTCGTCTCTCCTAATGGCCCACAGGCCGCGGGAAGTGCTTTCCAAGGTCGAACGTGATGCGCTTAGAAAATTCAAGATCGAAAAAGACCTTGTCATCGTGCCAGCGCCACGGTTGTAATGGATAGGACAGACTACCTTCAAAAAGCCAAAGGTTTACTTGAGGGCTGACAGTTCTATTTCCCATGTGCAACGAACCCTTTAAAGGCGCTGACACGCGAAATTAATGCTGCATTGTTGGACTTGGAGAACTCAGGTGCAATAACACCGACCGACAGACGCATGACGAGACCCCAAGATACGGCATTGGCCCGATTCTATGGCCTCTCTAAGTTGCACAAAGACGGCGCTCCTCTCCGACCCATCTTGTCACTCAAAGGGACTCCACCGTACGGACTGGCTAAATGGCTGTTCCGGTGTCTCAAGTTCCTGACCGCTGAGACAGACACCGCGGTCTCTTCGTCAGCACAATTCCTGGAGAAACTCAAAGGGGTAAGCCTCCATCCAAATGAGGTCATGGTATCTTTTGATGTTACATCCCTTTTTACTTCTATTCCCCAGGACCTGGCGATCGAGACAATCGAACTGCTTCTACAAAGCAAATACGATAAAAACGGAGAACCGTCTTGAACGCGCTCAAGTCCTTCAGCTCCTGAAGTTCTGTCTCAGGACGTACTTCATGTTCGACGAGACAATCTACGAAAAGGTGAAGAGCACACCAATCGGTTCACCGATTTCGGGATTCATCGCCGAGGCGGTCCTACAACGGTTAGAGTTACAGATTTTTCAACACCACAGACCGAAGTTCTGGGCCCGGTATGTGGATGATACCTTCGTCCTTATCGATCGGGATTAGGTGCTGACATTCAAAGAACATCTCAACGTCGTCTTCCTGGACATAAAATTTACGATGGAGGAGGAAGAGAACAAGCAGCTGGCCTTCCTGGATGCCCTCGAATGCCGCAAAGATTGTGGTGGACTAAAGATCAAAGTGTTCAGGAAAGCGACAAATACGATGCAAATACTGAACTTCAACATCAACCACCCAATCAGTCACAAACGCAGTTGTGTAAGGACGCTCTATTGGCCTGTCTAAACGCATTGCAGTGAGCCGCAAGACAAGATTGCCGAACTGCAATACCTCCGACGGGTCTTCAAAGCCAATGGATACTCGCGCAACTTCGTCAACCGGTGCATACGCAAAAGTGACGAAAGGCCTAACCGCATGGACACCAAATGTTGGCGAGCGCTTCCGTATGTCAAGAACGTTTCGGAAGCTGTCGGTCGCCTTCTCGCACCACTTGGGGCTGGAGTTGCACACAGACCGGAGGCAACCATCAGGCGTCAGGTAACGAAACCGAAAGACCCACTGCCAGGGCTAGAAAAGTCTGGAGTCCTTTATCGGATCCGGTGCAGTTGGGGACAAAGCAACTACGTCAAAGAAACCGGAAGACAGCTCCGAACGAGAATGGCCGAACACGCTGCAGCGGTGCGGAGAAATGAAACCAGCTCTCAAGTTGCGGCTCATTCGACAAGATCCGGCCACACATTCAAATTCGAAGACGCCGAAATACTCGCAAGAGTTGACAACCGCCTGAGCCGGGAGTTACTTGAATCATGGTTTACTGCCCCAGTCCATTAACAAGTGCAATTAACTTCCCCTTCCATACTCGGTGCTGAGACTTCGACTAGGCGGAGTAACAAGTCATGCGGCGAGCGCACAAGTGAACACTTTTGCCAACACCAGGGTCGGTGTGTCAGATGGTCAAGCAATCGTCACACCACCATCCAAAGCACGTGATGAAATTGCAGCAATCAACGATTCGAATGTCAGCCATCAAGCAATTAGCAAACCAAGTGCGGCGACCCCAGATGAAGGGCGAGTCAGGTATGCGGTAGCATGGTTACTGCATCCTATAAATACTGCAGCCCCTTGTGAATGAACCACCCCTATTTTCTTTTGTCTCTGATGATGGGCTCGAGCAGGAATCCAAAACTTCAGGCCAATAAAGCTCTTGTCCCAACAATCGTGTCTCCTTCTTCATGACGCTAATTATATTAACTGTCATTTCGGCCGGTCAACTAAGAACACGGAATAATGTGAGACGTTTGGTGATATTTCTAGTACATCCTCGACCTCAGCGAATCCCACCGTCGCTAAATGCCCCACAGGAATGTTGTTGAAACAAAGTTCTTCATAAACGCAGAAAATGATTTCTTTGTGAATGCATCTGCTCAGAGGGTTCAAATTAATGCGTACTGAGCATGTGACTTTATGGAAGCCATAATTACTACGCCTTATGTGTGAAAAAATAAAATGAAATATTGTTTGATTTAAACCATCCGATCTTGAAAAAAATTGCGTCGAATGCCTGCAAATAGATTTCCAAGCAAATAATCAAACATTACGCATTTAATTTTATGCAAAATGTAACATAACACCAATTTTGTGGAGGATATTTGCGACAAACATATGCAAAACTGTTCTTTTGAATAATTACTATATGTGGGCTGTTTCATTTACCCAGCCAACAGCATATAGATAGTCATAACGGAATGCCAAAATCCGAGTCTATTCAGTGGACATACATTTCTGGGTTTGCGATATTTCCGCTTCAGCAGGTTAGTATTTCAAACCGGCCAAATAGAATGTTAGTATTTATTTTGCGTTTTTGTTTAATTTGAGTTGGTTCACTATTAATGTGAATGGGTTTGACAACATCGACACATTTTAGTCAAGTTTAAGCTGAAAAGCAAAGACCTGCGTGAACTATCGAATCGACGCCAATAAAGCGGTTTTTTCCGCTATCGCTGTTTTGTGCAACAGCGACTAAGAAAGAGACAGCACAAATAAACAACTGTGCACGCAAAGGAAATTCAGGGATGTACCGACTGAACTGCAATCAAGAACTTCTTCAAATCACCCAGGCAGCCTACGATCACCTAACTAAAGGAACCGTGCCGCTTCTCAGCACTAATGGACAGACTCTTCTTGTTAAAATCATTACACATTGTGGAGTGTCTTCGTAAGTGGCCTCAACGGAAGTGTCCTGCGATTCCGCCATCGACCACTTCCCTCAAGCAAGAACCAGAAGCAATCTCGATCTGCTGCCTTCTCTTCCAGAAGCAACCCTTCAACTCTTCAGCAGCAAGGCACAGGGCTACGACACGTTCCCAACAGACGGCCCCGGCTGATGAATCAACTCACAACGCTATTCCAAAAGATGGAAATCGGAGGAAAGGTTCCTCGGGACGTCAAGGATGCGACAGTCGTTTATCTCTAAGAGAACCAGTAAGTCTGTGATAATTTCCAAGGACTCGTTCTGCTGGAAATCCCCGGAAGGTACTCCATTCGCATCCTCCTCAAATTGGGGACTTCTGCTGGGAAGTCTGGACTCTGACGCCACTGCGGAAACACCGACATGATCTTCGCCGTCCGCCAGCTGCAAAAGGAGCGTTAGAGAATGCGGACCCATATCTACACTTCGTACGTGGACTTGATGAAAGCCTTTGAGGGGGTGGACTGAGATGAATTGGGGAAAATCATGCAGGATTTCGGCTGTCCTGTGCGATTCACTCTGCACGGCGGGATAATGTCGTGCATAACGGCCAAACGGACTGCCCCCGAGGTATTCGCAGTGACTAATGGGATGATGAAGAACTACGTAATTGGCCCAAAATCCTTCGGCTTCGGATGTTTCGTCATGCTGATGGACGTTTAACTTGATGAGTGCTCTAAGATTCGCATCGCCTACGGGGCTGACGAACATCTTCTTAACAATCGGCGCGTGCGGAAATCACCACGTCTCTCTACGACTAAAATGCATGACCCGCTCTTCGCTGATGACTACGCAGTCAACACCGTGTCAGAAGTTGACATGCAACGGAGCATGGACCTCTTTGCCACGGGTGTACCCACTTCGGGCTGACCATCAACGCGGACAAAACGGTAGGTCATGCATCAGTCCCCACCCCAGGGGTGCATACAGTACTCCTCTCATGCACTTCAACGACAACCAACTGAAGACCGCGGATACCTTCGCCTACTTGGCAGTAAACTCTCACGCCGCATCAAAATGGAAGATGAAGTGTCTTACCGGACCTCCAAGGCTAGACAAGTCTTTGGCATGCTGCCGAACTCCGTATGGAATCGTCAAGGTATCCATCTCAAACTAAACTGTAGGTGTACAAAAGTGCCATCATGTCGACACTGTTGTGTGGCGGGGGATCTGCATAATTTACAAAAACAAAGCGCGGAAAATCAGTCACTTCCACTTCAGTTTTCTTCGCCGGATACTAAGGCTCTGAGAGGATAGGACCGTGGACACTGTAGTTCTGGAATGACTGAAGTCCTCAGAACCCACGTCATGCTGTGACAACTGCCATTACTTTGGAGAGGCCAACTCGTGAGGATGGACAACGGACGCCTGTCAATATAAGTTTTCTACAGAGATATCTCCACGGGTTCTTGCCCACAAGGAGGTTAAACCCTTTACTGCAAGGACACCATGCAGAATTCTTTGAAGCGGATACAGACCAAGCCGGTCTCATACAGAACCGACTTGCTAGAGAAGGAGCAGCGAAAAGAGGATCAGCTACCTATAAAACCGACCGCACAGTTCTCTTCACGTCTCTCTACGACTAACATACATGACCTGTTCTTCGCTGATGATCGCGCGGCCAACACGGAGCATGGGCCTCTTTGCCGCGGGTGTGCCAACCTTATACAGTTACAAGACTCAGGTGACCCACGACGCCAACTCTCAACCGATCTCAGCATGCTCACGTCGTCAAAAAATGCCCCGTGTGCGGATCGACCCAATCAGACATCTCTGGACTCAATACATCAACTCGACTGAACCAACCGTTGTCTCTCTGAGCCCTCCCTGTTCCAACACCCACGTCGTCCACTACAACGACCCTGCTCACCGCGAATGGTCAACATCCCCGTGCGGCACCGCCGTCGGTCGCTGCTCTGTCCATTATTCCTGCCACAACCCCCGCGGCGACCACTACCGCCAGAGCTTCTCCCTTCACAACTGGAAGTAATTCTCGCAAAGAACCACCCTCAATAAAACCACCCCATTTTTCAGTGCTGTGGACTCGATTCTAGCCTGTCCTCAATGCGCCTGCCTCACGCATCAGCCTGGTCGGTCACTTGCGAATCCACCCCCCTGCAACCGATGCGCCAAAGTCCAGAGTCCCCGCATACGCTTGCCATCTCCGGCTTCACAGTCTACACTGACCACACACATCCATACCCCGGGTGAACCTATTCTGTTACATGCATGCGGGCAGCAGCGGAAGTCACTGCACACCAACCATCCCTATCATCCCTTCTCATCAGCTAGTGAGCCCATCGACCAACAGCCTAGAAACAACAGCCTACTCGTCATCCTCCAAACTATCCTGTCCCCACTGTCATCGTACGTTCAGCCCAAGCATCGACCTGGTTGTCCATTTGTCAGTCTGTCGCCCAAAGACTGGCGAACCAGTGCCTGGATCGCCGACATACACTAGACGCCATCGCCTCAGTTGTTCACACTGCTCTCGCACATTCAGCCTTCGCAAGGACCTATTAGGCCACATATACATTCATGAATGCCTGCGATGGGACACTACCGGTTCTACCAAATCACCACATAGATCATCGCCAGCATCAACAGCACACCTGACCACACCTAACAACACACAACGAAAGCACGTGCTTGGAGTCTCTCGTGTGTGTGTGTGGAAAGTGTGTTCCTCGACTCCTTATCCATACGGTTCCCTTGCCGCGTGCATGATCCGAGTCTAATACTGTCAGGATGCGCTAAGCCTCGTGACTTGGAAGACTGCCAACTGACTTTCAAATTC